TCACCCCAAAGCTGCTTCACCAAACTAGTTTGCGAGAATGTATAAACCAACAGCTAGACCTGACAGTGAAATTCTGTTTAAACCCTACGCTAATTCACGGACACTTTAGCAAGCTTCGCGCACGGCGGAGTGAAGATCAAACACATCAAACAGTGTGGATAGCACAAGAGGCAGACGGTGTTCTACTTCAAATGTTTGTCGTTGTCCTCCATAGCGTACACTGTATCACCGTAACCTTACACAAAGTGCACAGCCGTTGGGGATTAGGCAGGTCTTTCTGAGGGCACGGTGTTAAAGTGGCTGGGAAAGTTGTGAGATCACAACCATTCGGATGCATTTAGGCTTGTTGTTAAAGTGCTCATCCCAATAGTTCACAAGCTACATAGCAGAGCCTAGTTCGGAAAGCGCCAGACGCGTTTCGCCCTATTGGGGCTCGTCGGTGGTGCGCATTCCCTCGGTCCTCTAAGGAAGATCGAACCCATGACCGCTAGAGGCAGATGCCAACTAGCCAGCAGCTTAAGCCACTGAGTCATGGGGGACGTTGGCTGGGCTACATAATTTGCAAACTAACTGGGATATAGCACCACCTATCTTCCACTGTCACTGACAGTGGTTAGCCTGCGAGGTGATGACGTCCTCTCACTAGACGCTATATCCATAGCAGTTTGAAACTAGGGGAGGCTATTTATTTTATATTACTGGTAAGTAGCAGGATTTGAGTTGTAATTTTGTTACGGTATTCATCCCAACAGTTCACAAGCTACATAGCAGAGCCTAGTCCGGAAAAGCACCAGACGCGTTTCGCCTTATTGGGGCTCGTCAATGGTGCGCATTCCCTCGGTCCTCTAAGGAGGATCGAACCCATGACCGCTAGTAGCAGATGCCAACTGGCCAGCAGCTTAAGCCAAGAGCTTTTGTAGGTGACTATGATGAACATGGCTAAACGGTTTTTTCATATTTTCTCAACAACTTGACGAGCTGCAGGTTCTCACTATGTGAAAGTATGTTTTCTTCGTGTGGATTTACAGAATACGCAATCATGCTGACTCTTGAATTTCCGCCCAACGTAGAAACGGAGCAATTGTTTATAATGGGTATAAAAGTGCACGCTTGGTTAGGATGAAAATTGCAAGAAAAGAAATCCATGAGCTAGTCTGCAGTTCTCGTAGACTAGTTGGAGAGGCCCACCATCATTATGCAAGAACGACACAGATCTTAGCAGAATCTATCATGCGCCATTACTCTTCTGACACCTTGTACACAATGAACTGAATCGGTGGAATTTAGGATGGAAGCTGGTGACGAGAGCTTGCAGTTTTCAAACGGATTTTATTGTCTACCTAATCGCTTGTTCCTTTGCAGACTCCAGTGACATAGAATTAACATTCTCGTTATGAGTTCCATGGTGCACCTCTGCTCTCAGTTGTGTCCAGTCGTACACACATGCACTACCATGTCCGACAAAATCGAAGTTCAGTAGTGTTCGTGACGGGAGTCATTGATGAGACACACCTGTCGTAATGGCCCTTTACGATGCAAAATTCGTTTCTACTCCAATCAACATTCCGTATTGTAGAAAAAACGCAAGCTCCTTTTATGCTTCCCATCAATTAGAGCCACTCACCATTTGACTCAATTCAGCCGGTCGATGCTACAGTAGTAATTAGTGCAGTTTGGTTCTCGCCAGTTCAGATCAATAGTCCACTTACTGTTATTGAGTTGGGGCTATCGACGTGAGCAGGTCAAAGGTCGGCCAGGGGTCATCGCTGCTCTCTTGAAAGCTACCATTACATCCTCCTTTTTTTCTTTTCTCGTAGTCATTGTGTTGCGAGCTTGTGTGCTCCATTCAGTGGCTAACTCGAAGCTGCACTGGACTGTTAATGAATTCCGTAGAAGGTGTAGTTCTCCCTAGTAGCATTAGACAAGGATCCTGTTACTTTGACTTTGATAAGTCGATTCTTTACTTTCTTTAGCGACTCCACCACAACCTTCCCTTTCGGGTGTATCACTAAGTTGTTCCGCCTTTTTCGACATTTCGGCGTTACACTGCACACCACTCCGATACAGCGTTTCTCGGGCAGCGTACCAACCGTGAATCTTGAATCAAGTTTTCACGGAACTGATGGTCCTTGAATCGGGGGTATTACAGAAATGCAATGCTGATCTCCCTGATTTTCTTACTTATTTGATAAAAGCCCTTGTCAATCTTTATGGCTTGCAGGTTCGACGGAACGCATCTCTGCCGCTCGGCGGTAATGAATAAATTAATACAATGGACATTCACAGTATTCTTTAAGTCGCCCGATTATTTCCGAACGATCCGGTTCATGATTATGAAGATTTCGGGCCTCCGTTATCCTCCTTGCTTCACAGCCCATCGAGTATCTGAACATGGCCAACTTGTATGGTTTTGCATACACATCCAACTGAATCCGCGCCGCTATTTCCATCCACTACGCTTTCTACACTCTTCTGTTGTCCGGTAATGTACTATCTCTCATATCTAGCCGGGTTCGCAAAGGGATCAATGAGTGTACATCGAAGGCGAGCGGGGCTTGGCACGTTGGTACCTCTGTCACCATGTGTTGGTGGCGCTCCGTGAAGCTATGTATGCCTCTAGCAACAACATTACGTATTTTAGAAAAAGTACAAGCTCAGTTTATTCCTCCCAATACTTTAATTCACGCATAAACGGGCTCATTTCATCTGGTCGACCTTCTAATGGCAATTACTAGAGTTCTGTTCTCGCCAGTTCAGACTATTTATCCACGTACTGTTATTGGTTTGGGACTATGGACGCTAAGAGGTAAAAGGTTGCCCCAGGGTCATCGCTGTTCGTCCGACAGCTGCCATCACAACAAGCATGCCTGATCTTCATAAACGACATCGGGAGAGTGATCATTCTAAAAAAATTTATCTCTTGCTGAATTTGTCCAGTTTTGACGGACTACGAACATTTTAAGCAGTGGCATAATTGCAGGACGATTTGAGGAATGTATCCATGCAGTCCGCCTGGGACGCGCCCCAGTCTACAACTTTCTAGTTTTTAGTGACAAACAACCTCCTTGGGAGGACTGTTGAGTACCCAATCAGGAAACTGTTTCTAGTGTTTTCAACGGAAAGACCTCGAAATATTTTTCTCAGTTTGGACTTCGCTATGCGAGACATGTTGAGAAGCGGTAAGGAAGGATAGTGAATATTGTGTACTTTTGCGTATGATACCCGGTAAATTCGTTTCGTCCGCAAGTACTTGTTCAGTAGTTGAGACTCTGTGGTGGATATGGCATTCAGGAAGCAGTGCGGACTTTCTCCGTTTGATATTCGTAACCGGCGGTAGTCATAGTTGTATGAATCTTACCTCATCTGCTGCACACCAAACTGATAAACGGCGAACCTTGATTGTGAGGAAGATATCGACGATTTGTAGTGAATTTGTAGTAAAATATACGTCGCTGTAATACCTGCAGGCTAGGTACCCAGACCTCCTGACACACGACTACAAAACAAATCGGCAATGTCAGAAATTAAATTCGTCTTACTAGCAATGCTATCATAACTACTTTACCCTTGTATTTCAGACCATCGAATGCTCTTTCTTCAATAGTCATACTTGCTTTAAACCTGACTGTGTTCAAGACACAACGCTGCGGCAATCGCCAAATAACTATGTTTCTGCGTCATGTGTTGCTTGTAGGTGAAAGAATCTTCTCTACTTCTTCCTAATTGATTCTTGCCATCGTTGTTACTCGAACGTCATTGTTATGCGCCCCAAATGTCGAAAGGAACAAGAGTGTTGTTGGTCTTATTAAAACAAAACAGAAATAGCTTCCATTGTAGCTTTTTAGGAATTACTTCATGTTATGTATTCGAATTCAGAACAGCATTATAATTCATCGAAAAGCATATAGGTGCTAACGAACTCTACACCACTCCGAATTCGACAACTTGAAAGACAAATGGCACTTTTAAACCAACCTGCGCGCCTCGAAACCAAATGAACGATTGCTTTTATACGCAAAATGTAAAATTAAGGAATAAGTTGGTTGTGTGTGTCTACACCGCTCAGACCGAATGATTGAGACAACAGGCTACCTCCCTTCAGGTTACTCTTCAACGTTGCTAATTTGATAAACGCTATCGACTTTTAGTAGCAAGTGCGAAAGTGCCTGCGTTTTGGTTAACATTTGGAAATGCGGAAGTAACTGTAGATGAACGTTTCTTGGTATTGTCAAGCGAAGGCATTAAGTGGGTAAGTTGACTGTTATATGCAAACTAGTACCGGTACTAGGTGCACAAGTCAAATATACCGATATGTTGATTTGACGGCGCACAGTCATCTTTGGATTAGTCCCGCATTGACACATTTTCCATGTTCCAAAGGGATCTACAAGGGCAGCTTGCCTTTGGTCTGCTTGTAGTTGTCTGAATAATGTGGCAGTACGAGGACCGCTATGAGTTCCTATCACACTAGCTTTGTTTGCCTAGCATCTGTGTTACATCTGATAACAATTAGATATATTTGCTCGTGGTACCGAGCCCCACAAACTTACCATTACCTCAGTTAGCTCGCAGTCGAGCAACAAACTGAGTATTTTCTTAGATAAATCGATCTAACGGCCACTACACAACCGGAAAGATGTTGAAAGTGTATACCTTCCAACTGGGACTTGCCAGCTGCAGCTTTTCATCAAACCTTGCAGGACTCTATTTCACTGCCACTACATCCACGTACCCACAATATCTGTTGCTTGGAAATGAAGGTCGAAGGAATCTATACATATCAGGAACCGCTTTTACTATCCCACTACACGTTCATTTTGCTAGAGGGCAAACGACACAACTAGCCAGCAGAACCACGACTTTCTACCTTGCAAGGTGAGTAGAATGTTCTTGATTCGACAGGCTTTAAGTAAATGAGTGCAAATGTGTGACGGCCATCTGACACTGTCCACTTTAGACTAACATGTTGATGAATTTGATGAATTTCCTTTGATACCTACATGTTCCGCTTTACTTTAGCTAAATCTGGCTCCCTGATCAACGCCTCTCTGAGTGGGTGTGAGGTATTCAACTGTAAGTTAAAGAAAGGCAGTCCGGCAAGCCTGAGGATAATCTTCCAGCCTGGTAAGTCCATGTTCCACTGTACTTGCATTATTGTTAACCTCCAGGACTGTGTCACAGAAAACAGGCAAAGTTATTTTTACATATCGTCTATCGAAATTAAAATTTAGAAGAGGTAGGAATAGCCACTGGTCTAACGGTGTACTTCAGTTCTGAACCGGGGATATCTCATCCCAAGTCTTAGTAAGTAACTGTAGATTAACGGATATAATCCCGTCCATAGATAATCCGACAGTGTAACCTTTCGACATCATATTTGTTCAAACTCGTAGTTCAATGTATTAGCCGACCCCCAAAATATTAGCAAACGAGAAACGAAGTTGTTTCTCCACGATTTTGACGTCATCACTACTTGCTCTCTCTTGAGTGAATTCAAGTAATACCTGTTCTACTATTGGTTAGTTGTGGTGACCGTGACGTTATAATCGCGGTTAATGAGGCATAGGGCGATCAGAACAGACTTAGGATAGTCTTAGTTGATAATATAGGTGGTTGACATCTAGTCCAAGTTTTGTGGCTCGACGTTTTAGGTCTTCCAATATATGTTGTTTCTTCGGCAACCAAGGGCTCCAAGCCTAAATAGCATAGTCCAAGTGGGGTCGAAGAAAGGCGTCGAGGAGGAGGCGGAAAATGCTAAGATCAATTTGACCGAAGACGCCTTTCAAAAATCCCACCATGGAGTTAGCAGCAGTAGTTGCTTTCCAGCAGCAAGCAGATACAGAAAGATTCGACTGAGTAATTATATCTAAGTCGCTTTTGACTGAAGAGACTTGGAGAATAGACACCTCCAGGAAGTAGATAGGAGAACAGAAGGAGCGGGTAACGTGGACGCGACATTTCGAAGCGTAAATGGATGGTAGTTTCCCAGGGACAACTAGTGTAGACAGTCGAGGTGCATCGGAGGTGCGTGGGCATCGCCCGGAACTTTAATTGTGCGTCATAGCTTCGTGTTCTCCGCATCTAGCAGTAACGGAGACTACACTTGCGTTGTGACGTCAGCAATGAATGCTAGGAAGAGGTCGGATCGGAGAACAGACCCTGTGGTACTCCGTTTGTGGCAAAGATGCAGCAGGACAACACTCCGTCGACGCGTACTTGTATGGTACGGTTTTGGAGCTAGTTCCCGATCCAGCCCAACAAGGCTCCTGCTAAGCCCTATGACAACAGTTTGTGTAGTAGGCTGTTGTGGTCGACTTCGTCGAAGACTTCAGCGAAATCCAAGAACATGACACGCGTTTTTGGGCCAGAGTCGGCAACAGTCGTTCAGGTATCCCTGCCAAGTAGCAAGTTACTCAGGCATGAATGTTACCGCAGGAAACCGTACTGGCAATCGAACAGCATTTGGGCCTCAATATGGTCCATTAAAGCATTTGCGATGACCGATTTCATCAATTAGGAGATCGCAGTGGGGAGAGTTCTCGGTCGGTAATTGGCCGGATCTTTGCTAGTACCGCCTTTGTAGCTTTGTGTAATAGTACCACATTTCTAATCATTGGGAAATTGGTCTTTCGAGAAGAAGTGGGTGAACAGCTCCGCTGGAGATAAAGCTGGAACTGCAACGCACTCTCGCAGGAGACTTGGCTGAAAATCAACAGCGCCAGGAGAGGCCGTTAGTCGCAGGGATTTTAGCTTGGCCAGGACCTTCTACACAAGGAACTGAACAGTCATCAGGGACGCTGGGAGTGAAACCAAAGGTACGATCGTTGAATACACAGACAGCACATAGAAGGTGGATGCGTACTATTTGCACAGGACTTCTGTTGCTTCATTCGCTGACTTTTTGAGCCATATGGAGGTCGTCAGTGGAATGACACTGTGCATGACGTGTAGATGAGTGTTGACGTGACTCGTTGCAGAATTCAGTCCTTCAGGGACAAGCATTTATTCGGCAAAGACAGCTAAACGAAAATTACAGCAGGTTTAGAAAGTCAAACTCCTCGATCTAATTTGCATGTTCAAGTCCATAACGAATGATTCTTCTGAGTTGATGAGGTTCCTGTTTTGCTTCAGTTAAACTAACGGTGAATCACTTACACGGATATCAGCCAATCCGAGTCCAGCAATCGAATCTGTCTAGTCCGCCTCCCATTGGCTACCTGGCTCGCTCGGTTGGTCCATCTGCTCAATCTGATCTGATACCACATGCGCATCCTCCCATTTTCCGTATTTTTGCTCCTCCATTTTGCTATCCACCCCGTACACCTTGCCACACCACGTCGTCTTCAATGGAGATGCAGTCGTGGTCTCCTTGCCCCACACCGTGTGCCACTCTACCCCCAATCCACATTGTTGTCTCCGGTGTCGTCACAAATGCATTTGATTCCTTCCGGACCTTCTTCCTCTAACGTTTATTTCGGATGACCTGGCACCGACCCTCGCAGTCACCACACCTCTTGACTATCAATTAATGGTTGACTCCATACTTTCTCCTCCAATGTTAGCTCAGGTAGTATCCGTGCACCGCGGGCCTGGTACGATTTCGGAGTGGTCATTCGTCGTTTCACATTGTTCTGTAATCTTTCGTGCTGTGGCGCAACTGGGTGCAAAATTGTGTGGCAAGTGCCGGTATCAGAGTTCTAGTGCTTCGGCTGTATAGGCGCTGCGCTGGGCTCAAACTGATATTCGTTGAAGCAGTGTTGCGATGCTCCAGTAGCTTGATGTATGGGTCCTCGGTAGTTGCTCTAGCGTTCGATACCAGTCGCATGGCCTGCTTCACTGCCAACTCCGCCTTTCCATTTAAGTTACTGTGACATGGGCTGGTTTGCTAGTATACGAGTTCCCACTTGGTTGCAAAGGTCTGGAACGCACCGCTGCTAAACTGGAGAACATTGTCGGTGACCAGCTCCTCCAATGTACCGTTCAGCGCGAACTGACATCTGATCGTGTTGATTACTGCCTCTGTGGTCCTAGTGGCGAGCAGATCGATTTCAAACTAACCCCTATAGTAATCCACCACAAGTAATCTTTTCCGTTTTCAATGAATAAATCCACTGCTAACTTCTGCTACGGTCGGTCAGGGAGATCATACAACATCACTGGTTCCCTCGTCTTCTGGAATTTGTGTGAACGGCACGCCTCACAATTCGATACACGAGCTTATATTTTACCCGTCATGGCTGGCCAAAAGATCAATTCTCATGCTCGGTTAAAGGTACAGTTGGCACCAAGATGAGCACGATGAACGTATTTTAGCATTTATCCTCGGAGCCATGACGGAATCAGAATATGGCTTCCCACGAACAGCAAACCAGCATAGACGCAGAGTTCATGCCGAAAAATGAAGTAGGGTGTAAGTTCCTTCATCAGCTTCTTCCTTGTCTCTGGCCACCCATTTAGAATAAGGTCTCTCAAACCTGAAAGCTTCGCCTCTTCCTCTGTGTGGCGCTTATTTTCTTATAGTCGATCTTCTGTCACTGCTAGTTGCTGTATAAGTTTACTGCTTCGACCTCATCCGGAGTATGCTCGGGTACCGTCAGATGAGCATTTGACAGCGTATCCGCAACGAACATCTGTGCAACTGGCGTATACACAATATGCAAGTCGTACTTTTGAAGCCGGGTAAGGGAACACTAAAGGCGACGAGGGACGACGTGCAGCTGTTTCTTGGCTATTGATACAAGCGGTTTGTGGTCTGTTTACAACCTTGTCTTTCTTCCGAAAGTATAATCGTTGAAACGTTCCATGGCATAGAATACTGTAAGCATCTCAATCTGCGCATAGCGCGGCTTGGTCACGGTGAGTGCTCGATTGAGTAAATCCAAAGGTTATCCATTCTGTAATAAAACAGCACCTATTCCGTCTTGGTTACTGTCACACTGTACTCCAAAGGCTACACTGAATCGTACTACCCGAGTCAGGAGCGTTGCTGTTGAGGTGCTTAATAGTTTAGAATGCGATTTCTTTTTATTTTCCTCAGCACCACTTTACTCCATTGTGAGTTAACTTCCTGATCGGCGTCATGGTATCAGCGAGTCTTGGCATACAACGGATCAAGTAATTCACCAAACCGTTTAAGCAATGGATGGCCTTTACGACATAAGAGGCGACATTCATTGAAAAGCTCCAATTTTTCTGGATCGACCCTGACTCCTTGGGTTTTTAGTTAAAAGCTCAAGGTAAATCACGCCGTCTTTCCGAAGCTCAATTTTCCACGTTTTAGCTTGATCTATTGCACACAACGCTGCAAGAAACAGTGGAGATTAGCATCATGCTCTTCTTCTATCAAGACATAGACTAAAACATCGTCTGCCACACGAGTTACACCATCTAACTCGTCTACCGTTGGTACTAATGGCTAGACCTTCAAGCCAAACGGTAAACGTAGCCAGCGATAATGCCCGAACGGTGTTCCAACCGTAGTAAGGAAACTTCATCCATCATCTATAACCACGTGCCAGAACGCCGAAGAGAGGTCTAACTTCTTGAAACACTTAGCTTTGGCCAGACGCGGTAACGTGTCTTCTAGGGTAGTTAGAGCGTACTGCTCTCCACCCAAAGTCTCATTCAACGGTTTTGGGTAAATACACACACGCTATTCGCCCGTCTTCTTCTTAATGATTACGAACTGACCAACCCAATCAGGCTGCTCGTCGATTGTGGCAATCACACCTTCTCTCACTAAATTCCTCAATTCAGTGGAGGACCTTTCACGCCGTTCAAATGGAACTCTCCCATCCGGTAGCGTTGTCGGTGGTATCGAAGGATCTAAGGACAAGTGAGTGGTTCCCTCAAACTATCCCAAACCTGGGCTAAACACAGACGGACACTGGTCATTAATATCGACTTCTTCCTGGCAAACATGCACAAAACGATCATGATTAAAAACATCAAAAACGAGAGACCGGATCGAATCAATGCTGAAAATCGGCGTGAGCTCCACCTTCACGATCACAAACTTCAGTCGATGTGAGACTCCTTCTCTTGGGTTAACCACTTCGATTGTAGCTGAGCCCTTCGGATGAAGTCTGGAACCATACCACATGCGCAGGCAATCTTGACCACAT